GATGGGGGTTTCACTGTGTTAGCCAGGATGGTCTCGGTCTCCTGACCTCGTGATCCGCCCGCCTTGGCCTCCCAAAGTGCTGGCATTACAGGCGTGGGCCACCACATCCGGTCATTTGAAGGAATTCTTAAGGTCTTGGGACAATGAAGAGAAGTTTCTTGATGAGGAGTACCAGTTCCCTGCTGGAGACTCACTAGAGCATTCCTGATATGGTTTGGCTGTGACCCCACCCAAATCTCATCTTGAATTCCCATGTGTCGTGGGAGGGACCCGGTGGGACTTAACTGATTCCTGGGGGCAAGTCTTTCCCATGCTGTTCTTGTGATAGGGAATAAGTCTCAGGAGATCTGATGCTGCTGTAAGGGGGAGTTCCCCTGTACAAGCTCTCTTTGCCGCCGTCCACATAAGATGTGACTTGCTCCTCCTTGCCTTCCACCACGATTGTGAGGCTTCCCCAGCCGTATGGAATTGTGAGTCCAGTTAAACCTCTTTCTTTTGTAAATTACCCAGTTTCAGGTATGTCTTTATCAGCAGCATGAAAACGAATTAATACAATTCCCTTCTCATCCAGATGTGCCTTTAAATTCCAGGGTGCCATTGTGTTTGCAAAGAACAGCCTAAGGGAAACCTCATTTTTCCAAAGATGCAATAAAGGTCCCAATGGCTCTGTCCTCTGCCTGTCCATGGAAGCCTAGCTGTGGGTCACAGCCTCCTTTAGCCTGACCTTGGTCCCTTCCAGCCCAGCTCCTTTAGCATGTTCAGGCTAGTCTGCTCATTTTGTCACTTGTAATGTATTTTTTCTTTGAGTAGGCTGTCTCACTGTGTGGGACTTAGGAACTAGACCGTGAACTTCCATCTTCTCCTGCCTCTTCCAGATCATCTAGCTCTGGCCTAGGCATATAGTGGCTGTTCAGTGGATAATTCTTTTTTCTTTTTTTTTTGAGATGGAGTCTTACTCCATCACTCAGGCAAACATGCAGTGGCACGATCTCTGCTGACTGCAACCTCCGACTCCTGGGTTCAAGCTATTCTCTGCCTCAGCCTCCCAAGTAGCTGGGATAAACAGGTGTGTACCACCATGCCTGGCTAATTTTTTTGTATTTTTTTTTTTTTTTTAGTAGAGACAGGGTTTGGCCATGTTGGCGAGGCTGGTCGCAAACTCCTGACCTCAAGTGATCCACCCACTTCAGCCTCCCAAAATGCTGGGATTACAGGCATGAGCCACCACGCCCAGCCTTCAGTGGAGAATTCTGGATTATTCCTCACTAGGCAGAATGCTGTGGTCAGGGGAGAAACTGAGGAAGAATACTACTGGGGACTAAGGGAGCCCCACTCACAGGCCTCCTGTCTAAACAATGCTGTGACACCTATTTTGAGGTTCCTCTGTGGTACTTGAAGTTAGATGTCTTCTTGGACAACTTCACATAGAGCATGTCAAGAAAAGCCTCAGGGGGTATTGTTTCCTTGGGAGCAACGGGATGATGAGCTCCTTGCGATGTTATGTAAGTTTGAGGGGAAAGAAAAAATAAAACAAATAGAAAGGCAGAGAAAATATAAATAAAAAAGAGTGCAAAGTTTTATTGTCAACTGCTGCTGTCACCTCCTGGAACTACAGTCGTATCTAAGAAATATGTGACATACTAATAGGAAGTAATTTACCCAAGGATGTTTTTTGTGCCTTGAATTGCCTTTCCAGCCTGGCTGTGGGAACTTTGCAAGCGTATATGCATGAAAGCCCGCGCGGTGCTTCAGAAACTTCCCAATTTGTGCACAGTGTGGCTTTTATAAGGCCATTAAACTCATCTTGGGGAAAAGTGCTCTGGAAAACAGTGATACATGGGGTCTCAAGGAGCCTGTGAAGGCAGACAGAAATGGCCAAGTGGTGACCGATTCTCTTGGCTAAAGTGACTCTGAGGGGCTGCTGCTTCTCCAGGCTCCCACCTCTCTGTCTGGTTTATTTTCTTTTCCCTACCCTTAGCAGTGCTTGGAGTTGGAGGGGGTGACTTTCTGTGGCACCATCTTGGATCCAGAAAGCACTGTCTTTTTTTATTTTTGCTGCAATTGGGTGGGTACTCTGAGACCTGAAGTTGGGACCTGGGCACATGGGGTGGTCCTGGGGTTTCACTCTCAGCCTAGAAACAACCACAGAACAGCTGTGACTCTAGGGCCCTGGGGATGAAGCTCCATCGTGGCTCTAAGGAGGCCCTCACAGGCCACACTCACGGCTAGGAGAATCTAGGTATTTACCAGTCTGTGAACCTCAAGTCCTTGGGAGAGGAAGGGCCCAAAGGGAAGAAAGTCAGGCAGAAAAAGGATAGAGCAAATACCAGGGAAAGAGGGAGAGGGGAGAGAAGCAGGAAGGGTGGTGAAGATGGTAAGAGAGTCCAGAGCCAGAGAGAAGGAGCAAATCAGAGCCAGAGGATGGTGGAGGGACAGGGAGGAGGGTGGGGAGGAAGAAGAAGAGGAGAAGGATCAGGAGACAGCCTACTTACGTTTTTTTTTTTTTTTTTTTTCCCTCAAGTGTCTTCATATGCTTGTTCTGTAAACACAGGCAGAGCCAGGATCAGAATATAGAAACAGTGAAATCGTTGAGAGCACCAGAGACAAGAGAGCTGGCTGACGGTGCTGGTGTTGCCCACGGAGAGAGCAGGTAGCCATTTCGAGCGCCCCTGCAAGTTCTTTTGCTGCTGTAAACACCTCCCTCCTACTTTTATCACAGTGCCTGAAATCCCATCACGATTCCAAGCTCCTTCTTTAAAATACAGCTCCACCTCAGATGGGGACTGCGCAGTCTTCAGAGGCTGAGGGAGCTGGGAGGGCATTCTCTTTGCTGAGCAGGGCAGTACAAGGGATGTACACTGCTTTTGGCATGGTTCGGGGTCTGGCTGTGATAAAAAACCGTGATTCAGGGCTAGGTGGTGAAGGTGTCTGGGCGGGGGTGAGGGCCGGCCTCTCTTGCTTCATCATTTGACTAGGGAGCAGGGCTCTGTGTGCAAAGACACCAGGAAAGGGACCTGAGGGTGCTCAGTGGTTGCGGGTGACTTCACAGGGACAGGGGAAGGGAAAGGAGTAGGGAGTCTTTAATTTGTACTCTGGCCTGTGTATCTCTCCCTGTGTCCTAGCTTGGGAAAAAAGAAATGAGCCCTTTATCAATTTTTAATAAATTGAAATGACAAATAATCCATTTAATAAATTATTAACTGAGAAAATGACTGAAAACTGAAATATCAAACAATTGTGAGCAAATGCCCGGAGCAGCGTGTTTATTAGTGACAGTCCTTCTGCAGGAGAGCGCTGATGCTGTGGGCCCCTCAGCCTCTGCCCCGACCCCACTGAAGCCTGGAGTGTCAGGGACCTCAGGCCAGGCGTGCACAGGTATGCGCTTGGGTGCAAGTGTGGGGTCCAAGGCAAATGGAATAGTTACTTTTGCCTTTGGTCCCTATAGCTGACCAGTTCACAGACAGCTCTTGGATAGGGAATACGGACCTGCCACTTTGATGTTCACCAGCATGAAGCCCTACATTCCTCCCTAATGGTACTAGAAGGGGGTTAGAAATAATCCCATCCCTGGAGATTATTTAGTCCTTTAAATTAAGAGCTGTATCCTCAGGAGAAATGATGTATGTGTGTTTATGAAGTCTTGTGTCTATAGAAAGGTGGATGCCAACCTGTGATCCGCCTCTAGTGATGACCAGCTGAGCCTGCTGCCCTATCACAGGCCTCCCAGGCTGCAGCAGGAGGCCTGGGGCACTTCCTGATGGGAGAAGCCCGAGTGTGGAGTCACTGGCTGGGGAGAGGTCAAGCACTTTGTGGGATGGGGGTGAGACTCCTTTGACACTCCTGAATGGCCTTAAGCCTCCAAATCCTGAATGTCATCTCCAAGAAGCTTCCCTGTGACCTCTCATGGAACTCCTGCCTTTACAGGTAGTCACACAAATTTGTCCAGCATGACCGGGGTGCAGGCAGAAGTGGCTGAGGGGGCCTCTCACCACATTTCTGGGCATGGTCATCTCTGCATTGGCCTGTGGTGAGGGACCACTGGCATCATCCCCCCTGAAGTGTGTGCTTTCTCTAGAAGCATAGCCTAACCAGACTGCCGGCCTCTGCTCTCCCAAGGCTGCCATGGCCTGGAAACACTTCTCCACTATAGCCCTGCTGTGGGCCTTGGGGCTGGTAGGGTCAGCTGACCTCCCTATGCCCTAGTTCCTTTATCTGTAAAATGGGGATAATAATAAACAGGGTTATTTGATGACTGGGATGGAAACAGTCCCATTATATAAATACAATACAGCAGTTTGGGATGACAGGCTGTAGGCTCGAAGATGGTGCTGCAATGGGTATTTTTAGGAAGGAGGGAAGGGGGGGAGGGATGAGTGGTTTATAAATGTTTGTTGCATTAAAAAATGTGCTAGTTTGAATTGTGCAGAACAGAGTATCATTTGTTTCTAGAAAAATTCACTGCTGTGGAAATGAATTAGTTTACATTGAATATGTGATGGTTCAGAGAAAGGAATATTAACCCAATTTGCATTTCTTTGAACTGAAATAAATTATTGCCGTGTTTGCATTAGTTGGGTCAACTGGATGTGATTGGGCAGACTTGCCGTGGGGAAGGCTGGTCTTGGGCTTGGAGGTGTGCGATATGGTCGGTGTGTACAGATCAGCAAGCACCTTCCAAATCTGGGCTTATTAACCTTTCGGGGGACTGCAGACCCTTATGGGGTTTTGATGAAAGCAGTGTGCACAGCCGCCCTGTATAATTGCTTATGAATCTCAGCAGACTCTCTGAGTCTTTAACCCTCTCATGATCCAGAGGTAAAGGTCCCTACCCATTGTCTTGGTATCCCATGATCAGATCATAGCACAGATTGGTCAGAGCCCAGTTTCTGAGGTCCGTCCCATCTGTGGAAATAAAACAGAACTTTGGGTCCAAAGAGGAAAACAGCCAAAGGCCAGTTCACATATGTGCTGTGACCTGGGGGTTTTGGACATTTTGAACCTTTGTAAGACAACATTCCCAGCTGTGAGAAGGCGCTGGCTGTGCCACCTGCAGCCCTGCCAATCATCAGAATTGACATGGTGGGACTGGCCAGCAAGCCATGGCGTCTTCCTCCCTCTTTTCTCTATGTTGATGCCTGCTGAAATTGCATCCTGAACTGAATAAAGAATGCTCCCTGAAGGCAAGGGGGTGCCAGTGTCTGGGCTTTTCCAAGCTTGGCCCTGATCCTAGGCCTAGTAGTTCCCCACTGGGGTGGTGGGTGGGGGGACATCAGTACAGCCAGTCAGCAGGTCAGTGTGATACAAAGTCTTCAATGCCTGACAAATGGGGTATTGGTTATTGCTGGCAATGTGTGAATTCTGACAGCATCATGTGGACAGCAGGTGACTCTTGTAGATGGACACCAAAATGTAAAGAGACATCAAGTAGAAACAGAAGCTACAAATATTCAGAGCCTCACACCCAGACTTTCCCTGTGAGCCTGTTGAACCAAATGGGCCTCAACATCACTAAGCCCACCATGGTTGGGGAGAGAGTGAGCACGGGAGGGAGAGGAAGAATCATCTCACCTCTGGTCAAATAGAGGGCAGTAAAACTTTAGCTAATTAGCAACCAGTTGCCAGAGAGTCTTATTTAACGAGTTCCCCCATCTGAACTCACTTTTACTGGAAAGAGGCAACCACAAGAAAACAAAGACTTAATTAAAAAAATAACTTGGGGGGAAGTCGCTTTCATGTCACTTCTCTGCTTAAAACCCATCAATGGTGTCTTAGTGATTTCAGGATAAAGCCCAAATCTCATAACTTAGTATATGACTCGTCACACCCTACTTGACCAGTAGTACTAAGATTTTTGCATTTTCCAGATATGCTCTCTTACCTCCACTTGGTGCCCCCTCTGCCCCTCCTCATCCCAAGTCATATCCTCTGGGCAGTTTCCCAGGCCCTAGACTGGGTTTGAGCCTCTGCGATAACACTTATTATATTACACATTAATAGCAGAAGAGGCTGGTATGACCAGCCAGGCCATGGGATCCTCAGGGCAGAGCCATGCCTGATTCACTGCAGCATCCATGAGGTTAGCCACATGGGAGGAGGTTGGTAAATGTATCTTGAACTCATGCATTCATAAAGTGATGACTCAGTGAAGGAAATGGGGTTAGTTTCATTGTCCCGCAGCCCACCCAATCCATTGATTACCTCTACAATGTAAAATACGACTTGCATTTACCAAGCTGCTTCTCTCACTTGTACAGTGGAGATCATACAGTCCACCTGATAGTCCTTGTGAGAGGGAAATGAGCTAGTACACATAAAAAGCAGTGCCTGGCACTCCAAGAGTGCTCAATGAATGTTAGCTATTATTCTGCACAAATAAGTTGATAGTGACCCATCCCAGTGCCATTCTGGAAACAAGTAAGTGAAAGTGCTTCCCTCTGTGGTTAGAATCACCATTAGCAACTAGTTAGTGAAAATGCTTCCAGAACACAATGTCTGGGAGAGGGGTGGGCTGGGTAGGCCAGGAGAAAATCTGAGTCAGACCTGGGACCAGGAATCAGACCTTTAGGTTTCACCAGGACTCTCTACTCAGGCTATTGGTGTTGCCAGATGTCAAGGTTGGATTGGGGAAATGGTAGTCAGGCAGGGATGGGGGAAACTCTTAGAAGAGCCCATGCCAGTCTCTAGCTAGGCTTTACTTAAGTTATGGGAAGGAATCCATGCTGGGTAAATGAGGTAATGAATGTGCAAGTGCTTTGCAAACTGCAAAGTGCTATACAAATGTGAAGCATTATTGCACTCATCTATTTCTCTTCTTTGTGCTCCCAGGGTTTCCTAATAAGAGCTCTTTTTGAAAGTGCTAGTCTGACTTTGGTTAACTAAAAGGAAAGGGTGTGTGCAGTGTGGTAGATTGGGGGTTTTGTGTACCTTGAGTATAGCAGAGGTCCTGGCAGGGAGAGCAGAGACTTGCTGGCACCAGGAATTGGGGAGTGAAGATGCTGAATGTCACATAGTGATTAATCCCTTCCGATCTGGGACATTTTCCAGGTCCAGGGGCCATCCTGGAGCTGCTTCAAACCATTCTAGAGAGACAGGATGGCCTGAGCTGAGAAGGGTGGGAGCAAACCCAGGGCCCTCGTGGTTGAGAATAAGTGCAAGCTGTCATGGGAAATGTCCTCATCCCTGAGTCTGTGCTTGCAACTCAGTCATCCAGCCTGGCTCAGGACAATGCAACCATTTCCAGCTGCTTTGTGTAAGGAATAAGGACTGGCCTGAGAAGAAAGGAAGAGTTCTGCCCCTAATATCCCTGATTATCTCAGCAGCATGGATTCACCAGCCTGATTTGCTGCTTCTTCCTGCATCCAGCATGCTCCTGGGTCTCCTTCCCCACCTCACAGCCATGGCAACCAAACACATGGGCTTGTTAAGAACAGCAGCCCAACTTCAGCAAGGTCTAGCTGGCCTGGACAGAAGAGCCAAGGTACCAGATCCATTTCCAAGGCAAAAGTCCCCAAGTTTATAGTTAAACTCAACTTGCTTATTTGTGGATTTTGCTGGGGCGGAGTAGCCCCACCTAAAGGGAGTCACATGAAATCTTAGCCTTTTCTTTGTCACAGAGTATAAGAATAAAACCTTTGATGATTGAACGGATAATCCTCAGGATAACATCTGTGATTCTTCATGAGAGTTATGTCTTCTTAAACCCTCGGAAGCTGTCAACACTACAGATTTCCCAAAGCACCAAGCTGCAAACAGCAGATTGCTCTTAAGCAATGATGCTGAAGCATGAAGCAAGAATCATGTTCCCATATCAGTTTCTTTCACTGCTCTGAACCCAGCACCTAGCACAGCTCCTGATAGAGCTATGTCAAACATGATAGAACTCCTGATAGAGCTGAGTCAACATGTCCGTTTAATGAGTGAATAGGAGTGGGCTATCCCAATGCAAATTTCAAAGCTCTCAGCAAGACAAGGTTGAGGTAAGTTCTTTGCCCAATTGTCAGCGATTTTTACATGATTAGCCATATCTCATCATTCCCCCAAATAAGTGGGTGTGATTTGGGTAGGTTGTGGAGGAAGGAAAGGACAATGGTGGTCGTTGAAGAATTCTACAAACCAAAGATAGGAGCAGGAAATGAGCATGGCGTACTCACTGGACAATGAAACCCTAGCTTAATTTTTATTAAACTGGAAGGCCAGATATTAAACTTTCTCTAATTGAGTCACTTGTTTTATCTTAGACTGGATTGAATTTTAAGAAAACCATATGAATATTCACTCCTCCTCTTTTTCCTCCCTCAAAGAAACCAATGAATATTCATTCCTCCTTTTTCTCTCCCTCAAAGAAAACTCAATCAGTCTTGGATAAAACTACACTTACAATGGAAGCAGGAAAGAAGTGACCTAAGCCATTGTCCGGTCCTGCTGTTGTCAATCTTCAGAGCACATCAAAATTGTCTGCGAAACTTTAGAAACTTTAGGAATGATAGGTGTCCAGGCCCCAGCGCAAGCCTACTCAACCAGGACTTCCAAGAGCAGAACCAGGGTGGAAAGGTGACAAAGCTCCCTAGGTGATATTCATGTTCTGAGAATGATCCTGATGCATGGTCCTGCATGTCACCCAATCCACTGGAACTTCTACAACATAAAGAGAGTTACTTGTTTATATGGCACTTGCTAGTTTCTGTGGTTTCTTAAAGTGTGTCCCCAAATCAGCTTCCACATCTCATGTGTCCTCAGATTGGGGTAGAGAGCAGAGGGACCCTTTGTTGTCCACAAAGGGCAGCATGCCCACTGGTCCTTGCTTTTAGGTTGGTTATATTGCTGGGAGCATGGTACTGGATGGGAGTTTAGATGGAGGTTGGGGAGAGGGAGAGCACAGGACGTTAGCCAGAGGGGCTGTCAGTGTAGCACCTCTGTGGCAGCTCTCTGTAAGAATTGGAGCTGGTGCATTCGTGGCCTGATTTGGTCATTCACTCATTTATGTTTCATTCCTTTGTCAATTATTTGGTGAGTACCTAGTACATGCTAAGGACTGCAGACACTACAGTGCACAAGATAGCCATGTCTCTGCCTCATGGATCTGAGAGTCTGAGATGGGGAGATACAGATAATGAATAAGTCAACAAATAAATAACTTTTATACAGATTTTAGTGAGTGTGGCGAGAGAAATGAACAGAGTACAGCTGTGACCAATAATGACAGTCCTCAGAAATAGCTCTAAACTCCTCTTCAAACTCTTTTACCACTACCCAAACCCACACTGAATCAGACAAAGTGGTCTTCTGTGTGCTGTGTCACACTGGCTAATTATGCCTATTTCCTGCTCAGGAATCCCTTCCCGTGATCTCTCCATCCTCTTCCACCCATCTCACTTTCTCTGTGTGATTTACACCTTAGCATTTGGTAATGCCAAATATTTCACAGGTGAGGCAGCTGAGATCTGGACAGCTGAACTGTCCTGTTCCAGAGCCAACAGCCAGCAAGTGGGGGTCTTCAAACCCACCCTTGTCCTTTTCTCTCAATGTTCCACCCACCTTGGCCTCTCTGCAGCCCCCAGAGTAGTTGTCACAATTCCCTGTCTTTTAAAAATTTTTTTCTTTATTATAATCAAGACTTTCAATTAACTTTTCTCTGTAGAAACGACTGTGTTAGGCAAAAGTTTGTGTGGGATCCAATAAAACATCAGATGATATTGAGCATACGTCAGGCAAAGCCTGCAGCCCAATAAGTTATTATGTGTAAATGTTACAACTTTATTTTGAGGAGAATACATGTGTACTATGAAGCTGTTTTATGGATACGCAGCATGATTGATTACAGCATGCAGATCTGTCGCAACAAGATAAACTCAGATAGAATAATCTGTGGATATTTAGGCCTCCACAATTTGTTATCCAGAGATGACTCTAGAAATGATAATTCCTTCCATTTCAGCAATTTCTTTCTTTCTGTCCCCAGTAAAAACCCATTTCCAGAGTGCTGACGTCTGATGCCAGGGTCCTCTTCTTGCTTCCGTCTTTTTCCAGTTGCTCAACAGGAAGCAACGGAAAGTTGTATTTGCTGTCAGCGCTGCTGCAGCAGCAGCTGGGACTTGGCCTAGAGTAGGCAGGTGTTGAGGGTTGAGAGCTAGGGCTGCTGCGTGAGAAACAGCCTCTGCTTTTAAGCTGACAAAAAAGCAAACACAAAAATAATCACTATGATTTGTTTAACACATAAAACAGTTTCAGTAAAAATGGATTACATCAGGTAACCAACTATTTTGCAGATCATCCCCAAGCAACTTGTTGCTAACAAATGACTGGATTGAATTCATTGGCAACTTTTTGAAGAACAATTTGGGGAACAAAGAGTTGCTTGAATGAATTAAATCAAGCCCAAGCTCCCACTTCTTCCTTGAAGCCATTGCCGATTACCTTGGGATACAGTGACTTTCTCTGAGCTCCTCTAAGAGTCTGGGATCCCTCTTTTGATAATGAGTCATCAATGTCCATTCCCTAGGATTCCTGTCCTGAGTTGTGACTTCTCTTTGATTGTTAGATGAATTACCATGTGCATGGAGAGAAGCCATGGCCCAAGGATGGGAATTGCAGATCTGGAGGCTGAAGCCCCGAATTGGCATCCCGGCTCTGCTCCCACTGGTTCTGTCACCCTGGGCAAAGCACTTCTCCCAAGCTGCAGTTCCACCAACTGAGAAGCAGAGACAATGACACCTGTTCCACTCACCTTGCAGGGTTGTGTGAGAAGGAAATAAAGTATTTGAAAGCACTTTATAAACTGTGCAGTTCTATTCAAGAAATACTTATGAAGCCACTAAGACCACTTCACCTGCTTTGAGTGTAAATATGACCATTTCATCTTTATTTTCCTGATCAATCACTTAAAACCTCAACTGCTTTTATTGTCAGGAAGTCCAGCTTCTCATTTCATTTCCCCTGCTTGCATTCCCTCAAAGAGGCAGAAGAAACTGAAAGTCCCCTCTGTTTATGACACCGCTACTTGGTGGTGGAGGAGTGGCGTCTTTGCTGCATTCTGGTCCACAGGGCCTGTGTTGCCTGTGGGCTCCTGCCTGGCATCCTGATCATGCCTTTGTGGGTGCAAGTCCCTGTACCAGCAGTTTTGCTGTGTTTCCTATGCTTGGGTCCTCACTCACATACTCTCATGTGCTAGGCCACTGTTTCCCCAAAGCTTCTCCAGAGTGACTGGGGACGGAAGCATTTCCCATTTCTACCATGTCCTGTGTCGGAATCGCTTTGTCCCTATAAAATCTCCTGGGCCCCAGGCCTAGTCATGAGTTCACATCCCCTTTTCACTCTTTGGAGGTCCCCTTTGGGGCCCCAGTTATCCTTACTCGGCCGATTAGCATTCTGAATAGGAGAAATGACCCTAGAGTTGGCCTGTCTCAGTTCAAATTCCAGCTTCACCACTTCTTAGAGAGAATTACTTAGGATCTCTGTGCCTTAGCTTTCTCATCTGGAAAGTGGAAGTAAAAATGGTCTCATCTCATGGGGTATTGTAAAAATTACATGAGAAAATAGATATAAAGATTCCTCTTAGAAGAGTGTCTGGCACAGATTAAGCACTAAAGGTGCTGTTAGCTGTTTCATACTCTGACTGATTGACTGACCATGGTCCCTGTGGTTCACATGAATGAATTTCTCTAATCTGAAGCTTTTACTATGGGGATTAGGACTTGCGTTATCCCCCACTCTAAAGGCAGCTGTATTCATTACATTACATTAGGGCTCCAGGAGCCGTCTGCTCTTTGCTTTCAGTGCCACTTAGCAAGAGTTGGATCTTCTAAGTTAAACAAAAAGGGGAGGAGGGAAGGTTGTATCAGTTAGCGTTTGCTGTATACAAATGGCCACAAAAATGTTGTGGCTTAAAACAACAACTGTTTATCTAGTTCTGTGGTTTCAATAGGCAGCTTACCTCTTCTGGACTGGTTCAGGGGGTCACTTACAGGGCTTTTGAAAGTGTCTCTGGGAAGCTGGTGAGTTGGCTGGTGGTTTGATGATCTAGTGTGGCCTCACTTATGTGTCTGAAAGTTGACAGGCTCTTGGGCAGGAATTGGCTGACTGTCAGCTGGGGTGCCTTGGTTCTTCTCCACAGGAGCTCTCAATTTCTAGCAGGCCAGCTTGGGCTTATTCACACGGTTGTCTCAGGGTTTTAAAGGTGGCAAAATAGGAAGTTGCAAGGTCTTTGAGGTCTAGGCTTGGAACTTGTGCATTCTATTGATCGTATGCACTGCCTGATGGAAGATGCTTTGCTGCTAAGATTTTGTGGTTATTGGCAGTTTATACAGCAGTTAAAATTTTTCCTTATGGCAGTGGGTACTTTCTTAGTTTCCATTTGCATTCTAAGAGGGCTGGTGATTTCTCCTTTACTGAGAGTTCTCTCTTTTTTAAAAACATTTAATTTATTACATACCCACTCTGTGCCAGGCACAAAAAAAGATATGGTGGTCACAGAGTATTCAGGGAGAATATGGAAAAGAAGGTAGAAGTGCTGTGTCTGTCTGGCAGGGGCTTTAAAGAAAAATAGGAAGACCTCCCCAAGAAAGCGAAGTTAAGGCTAAGTCTTGAAGGACGTGCAGAAGTTACCCATGTTTGGGAGTTGAGGGGAATGAGTGCAAGGATAAAATGGAAGGTATAGGAAAAGATCACCCAGTACTGCTCCCTTAATTACAGTGAAGCCTGGAGACCTTCCCAATTGGACCCACATTTAACAGAAGGGCAGGAACCTAGGCCTTCTGACCATCTGGTCTTGATTTACTCCAGGAATTAGGTGATCAAATAGATACATCTAAGTTAAGGCTGCCTTGGAAAGTCTACTCACAGATATAATCATGGTTTGACTTGAGGTTTCCGACTCTACCTCCCTTATGAGGTTTCTGACTCCACATTCCTTTCCATCCTCGAATTCTATATATCTGTACAAGTCAAGATTTGATCTAGGATTGGCTGGTGAATAACCCAAACAGATGTCTCCACTCATAGCTCAATGTGTTCCCTGTATACTCCTTTGGCCAATGAGGTACCTCTATGCAACCAGACATACTGTAGGTTGACCAACCCACATCATCCATGCTACATGCAACATGTCAGAAAAAATAACCTGAAGGACATTATACCAAGTGAAATAAGCCAAATACACAAAGACAAACACTATATGATCTCACTTATATGTGGTTACTATGTGAGATGATGGATATGTTAATTTGCTTGATGGTGGCAATCATCTCACAATGTATCAAATCAACACATTGTACACCTGAAATATATATATATATATACAGATAAAAATTGTATATCTAGAGAGATGAATAAAAAGTGTATATATATATGTAGACAAAATTGTATATATACAGTATATATATGTAATTTGTATATATATACATGCACTATATATACACACAGATATATTTTTATATATACAACTTTATATGTCAATTATATCACAGCAAATCTAGAAAAAAGATACAATCATGCAGAAAATTTTATCAGATATTGTGTGGCTGCAAAAATGTATAAAAGGCCATACATTTGATGGTAATGCTTCTAAATACTTGGCTTTGGATTCTGCCTGAACTAGAAATGTGCTTCATTGCAGCATGCTGGTGCTCCTTCTGGCCATGATTCCCAGCTGTGGACCTGGATCATCCCCACAAGCCAAAAGTGAACCATGATCTCCACCATTGGCCATTGCCAGCACTTGGCTGTATATAGACCTTAAAACATTCTCACGTTCATCTTCTCATGTAATTCTTGTAAAACTCCACCAGACAACTAGATAGAAAAGTCTTCATTTAGTGGATAAAGAAACAGGCTCATGGGAATTAAGAAACTTGCTCAAAGTGTCAATTAATGAGGGATTGATTTAGGACAGAAGGCCAGATCATGGGCCTGCAGGAGCAGAACTTTCATGGAGAAATACAGAACAAACAGCCTCTGGCATGACATCAGGGTGCACCCTCAGGGTCTCCTGATCTCTGGTGAAATTCTTATCAAAGCCAACCAGCCCAGGTGTTGGTATCTTCTTGAGCCCTTCTCTCTGATTTGACTTCCTTGCCCATGGCTTGATGCCTATAACACCCACGTGATGCTTCCAGCCCTACCTGCTCTTGTAGGTTCCAGAGTGCTCAGTCAGTGAGAAGCAAAGAAAGCAAGGTTATTATTGCATATCACACACACCCTAAAACTTCTACCCTATGAAAGACCATTTGCTGGTGGGTGAGCAGAGCCTTGAAGCCATGTCTTATTTAACCAAATCAATGCACACATATTGCCCAGCTGTTAGAAATGGAGAAAGGGCCATGGAAACTCCAAGGGAGAGGAAGCCCGGCTTAGAATATTTGACAAGAGGCGAGTGATTAGACTCTCTTTGTGTTGCTGAGGGCAGAATTAGGGCAAACTGCTGAGCGCTTTGGGAAGCCCATTTAATCTACCTCAAAGAAGAACTTTCTAACCCTTTTGACCTGTCCAGAAGGAGATTTTGTCTTAAGTAATCGTTTATGCGTCATTCATGGGAATTGTCGGTCCCATTGCTGAAGAGCAAGAACTGACAAAAGAGGTTTTTTCAGTCAAACTAAAGCCCATCAATTTTTCTTTATTAGGCCCAGCCATTGGTCCTAATTTTAGATTCTGGAGCAGAATCAAATAAAGCTAATCACTGTTGCACATTTTACAAGAGGGGCTTGTAAATGAATTTCTAATTGGTGGAGTTTCAGGCATGGTTATGAAGTGAAATGAATTTCAGGCCAGGGAGATATTTTGGGGGCAGTGTGGTTTTTTTTCAGAGCCCTTAAATCATGCTACGGTGCTGACCAGCTACCATTCTGGATTGGATGAATGGGTGAGAAATTCACTTTAACTTTCAATTGCTAATGATTTTTTTTGGTGGGGATGAAGTGGCAACAGTCAGGCATTAGAAGCTCCCTCTGAGTCTTTGGTAATGTCCCTTCCTCTTCAGACTCAGATGATCAAGTCTTCTCCTCCCCCCTACCCTCCAATTTAGGAAATAGGTGTGCTGGATGGGGCAGGGGCTAGAAGGGGCATTGCGCACATGATCCTCTACATCTTATCATCCACTTGCTTGGGGATCTTTGTGGAAATATTCAAATGATTAGCGTAAGCAATGTTGATAGCACCCACAGGATGGGCCTGAG